TATTGTATGAACATATCTCCTACGAGCAACGATGTATGTGGACGGCATTAGCACATCTTTGTTCCTTTATCTTTCAAACCTCCATTACCAACTTTTCTTCTTACGAGAAAAAACTGAAGATATTGGTCAATATATTTCTTGGTCACATCATCCGATGGACGGCACAGTGGACGAACAAACCGAAGTTCCATATGCTAGTCCACTTAGTAGAATCAATCAAACGGTTTGGCCCATTACGTTTAGTTGCAACTGAAAAAAACAAAGGCTTCAACGGTGTAACACACTTAGCTTCAATTCATTCGAACCGTCACGATCCAGGCTTACACATTGCAACAACCTTTCTTTTTGCATGTCTGATGCAAATGTTGCTATCTGGTGGCTCATTCTGGGATGAGAAGTATCAGTGCCGAGCAAAAGCAGGAAAAGAAGTACTCAATTTATTCTTGAATAATGAATGGGTCCGGGATACTTTGGCTTATAATCAAACATGGAATTCACAAGGCTCAATTTCAATGAAAGGTTCGTGATACTCCCTTTCACGAACCCTCTTTTTTGGCAAAACATCTAATACCATCATTTTCATTCTCACCTGTAGGCAACATCAATGAGAGCTTACCACCAAGTGATATTAAAGAAGTGTTCCCAAAATTTGGCTGGTTACAAAAGAAAGTATTGTATCTTCGATCTAGCCAGCGTGTAAGGATGGACAACTTCATTTTCCTTGTGCTACCGGGGGAAGAGACTCCTAAAGTTGGTAAAATCGAAAGCTTCTGGCAAGGTACCTACAAGAATAGTTTGAAATTATTGGCAAAGGTGAAGGCCTGTCGGTTAAATGAGGATGTTGATGATTTCTACGGCTTTCGAGGTTTGACTGTTACCCCAGGAAGTATGTGGATTCCTGTGGAGGTATGTCTTTCAAACTGAATGGACATTCCAATTATGGACTTGAATGACACCATTTATTTCACAGAAGATAAGGTGTGTGCTTAACGTCCAGCATAATTGTCATCTCCTCAATTGTCAGCCACTATCCAGCCCACCAAGACACAACGGACAAATGCCAGTCAAATCTCCGTATCAGATGGTTCATAAACCCGTTGATGAGTACATCTTGAACTCGGGTGCGTTATATTCACCTGAAGATCATAGGGCTGTTGCAAACATTGAATACCCTCAATGGACAAACGAAGAATGGGAGGAATGCATTAAGATGGGTATCAATAATTGGAAAAATAGTCAAGAAAAGAAAGATAAAGCCAAACAAGACAAAGCGAACAAGGATAACAACCAAAAGGCCAAAACAAAAGGTAAGAAAAGGAAACATGAAGATATTGTACCACGTGAAGATATTGACCCAGCGTTGTTTGAGATTTGAATCAGTTTCATGTCCATTTCCTAACCAGACCATTGCAATTCAGAGAATGAATAAAGAGTGTACCTGAAAACCAGTCAAATCCAGGATTGGAACCACTCCAAACGAGCGGTTTATAAACCAAACAGTCCCCTTTTGAACTCTTGAACTCTCTTTGACGATATTCTTTTACCAGTCAAATCAAGGGTTGGAACCCCTTCAAACAAGCGGTTTATAAACCAAAAAGTCCCCTTTTGAACTCTCAAACACTCTTTGACAATATTCTTTTACCAGTCAAATCAAGGGTTGGAACCACTTCAAACGAGTGGTTTATAAACCAAAAAGCTCCCTTTTGACCTCTCTTTGACGATATTCTTTTTATTGATCATTTCGGCTTATCGATAGATCAATAACAAGTCCATCAAGCCTGCGAGCTTGGTGCACTGGAGAACATGTGACAGTGATGGCATGCACATTTGTTCATTAAACCACGCTTTGACAAGTTGATGACTGAACGGGTTTGACCAAATCAAAAGTGGCCATGTCATCTTTGTTCACAGTTCGACCTCTGTTGACTTTGAACTTATCACTTCTTTCGCTTTTGTTCACCTCTTCAACACTCAGCATTTGTCATGCCTTTTCGTGAATCCCAGCGTCCAAACTTGCGAACTCGTGATTCACGTTCAGTTTCGCCATGTAAGTTCTTCACTTACTCTCAGTTGTATCTTGGTCTCAAATCTTTTTTGGATTGATGAAGCTTTAAGGGCCGATGCGCTTCCCGCCTCTTTGAGATTTGTTGGTTCCAATACTTCTCAAATCCAGACTAATAACCAAGGTATCATCTTCCTGTACTGCTCATGTAATCAAGTCTTCCTAACATTTCCTTTAGGCGGTAGGAACGAAGAACAAAACGATGATGATGAAGAAATGGATCTCCAAAACCAAAAAGACGACGAATCCCCTTGATCGTCTCCCAAAGATCAAACACCTCCCTCTGAACGCACCAGTCAACACCCTTTTATGGCTGCGCACCCCGAAATCCCTTCAACAAATCTACCTATGGCCCCAGGAGATTGAACCAAATGGAATCAGCTCGCTGATATATTTGACCTCGATTCTAAACATCGAGCAGAAGCACTTCGAATCAGTTCGGTGAGGCACCTTTCCATCAATATGTCACCCTGGTTACTTACCATGGTATTGTTTTAGATCACTGGTTCTGAAAACCAATATCACGCATCCATCTGCTTATTGCAGAAGACCTGTCAAGATATGGATAACGTAGTGTCACAACTTCGATCTGCTAGCACCTGGAAGCCTGCCGCTGATTTGGGGGTAAGCACGTTACTTTAAATGAAGTAGCGTGTACTAAATTTGTTCATTCCCAGACCCGACTAACCAAGATCATACACGAGACCTTGCGAGACCATACAATGGAATCTTACACCTACCGAGTCGATTCCCACAAAAAGCCCATACAAAGATCATTTGAAAAGGTCGCTATGGTACGTCTCTTTTATATGTACATACTCATATGTTTTTCAGCAGCTCAGCACTTTTCTACACATGTAGAACGCTATCATCAGCCAATCCGACTCATGGAAATCCGAAAATTTACCTCAAGATTTTGGTACTACATTGACTGATTTGAAGAAACATGAGGTGTTCATGAAGTTTTTTGGAGGCAAGGTTAGGCACGTCCGGGACGACTTTAGGATTGTTGTACGTTCATTTCTTTCGGATCTCATGAAACAACTGCCCAAACTAACTTCGTTATCTCAGCTCTTAACCAATATGCTTGTAACTCACGCAAACATAGATGAACCCGCGCAGCCGGTTCCAAAGCTGTCTGAATTGTTATTACTGGTAAGTCATTCCTTTTCGCTTTCTATTACTTGTCATGTGAAACCCGGGATCTTCTTTGATTAAAAAAACGATTTTACAGTTGAATCATTTTTTTAATCCACAAGATCCTCACACTGCAAAAGAACTTGAGGCTGAGATGGACTCAAAGGCCAAAGCTCGATTTGCTTATCTGGTGAGTTTTCTTTGAAAACTCTTTGATTCCATACTCTTTCATAGCCAATATTGTTTTTCCTACAGAGAATTGAGGCAGCGATATATAACTACACCAACCAAGTCGACCGCAAGCTCCGTCCTGGTCAATTGCATTGGGCTTGGGTTGATCAACAGCTTGAAAATCTTCGTGGTCAAAAAAGGGCTTATCGTCGAGCGTAAGTTAGCAGATTGAGACATATTTTTGACTTTGTGCTTGGTTGTACCAGATTTGATACGATTATTATAGCAACTGATCAAGGGTTTTTTGATGGCAATAAGACAATCTTTGACATCAAGTCAGACGAAAAGTTTAGGGTTCCCACTGATGATGATGTATCAGAAGCGATTGACTTCATGTCTTCAAATGCCGAGTGATCTATGTATGAGCAAAGACTTGATTACTTGTAATTGATCAAGTCTTCATCTTACCTCTTGCTCTCTGTTTCCCTGCATAGTCTTCAAGTGTACATCGATTGTTTATCATTAGTCCTCTCTCCCCATGTTATTCTACCTTTCATCTCATTTGGTGTTCTTGTCGCATGCTTACATAGCTCAACCTGCAGAAATTGAATATTTATGTATGATTCCATTCATCTCAACTATCTTGATCAAATCAAAGCGAAAACCAAATGTTACTATTGTTTTATAGTGAAGAAACATACAAAAAGATGTCTTGATGACACCCTATACAGTGTCCACCAGATGCCTCAAGCCGGTCAGCTACACAGCGTCTGACGTTTCTCCCGAACTTGTCGGGAGGGATCCTTGAAGGGTAGCGTGAAGCTTCCCTTAGGATATTTTCGCTATTGGCGTCCTCACAACAACAGTGACCGATGCCCACAGGTTTCACACCAGGGACTCCAGAGGGCTGCCTATCGGCCCTTTTGGGAAGTCCGACCTCGGATGTCCGAGGTGGTGTCTTGCAGAGCGCTCCGTCAGGACGTCCGTCCGCCTGCAAAGAAAAACGGGCGTCCCAAGGACATTCGAGTGTCCTTGTGGTGTAGTTGTAAGTAAAGGAGGATGAAATTTAGTCGGAAGAAGGGGAAAAGCTCCTGGACCAGGTATGTATATCTCTACTCAAATTGATGAGTGGAGCGCGGTCTCCCTTTTCCCACTTCCGTGTATTTGGATCTCCTTTGATCCGGATTGGATCTTATTTCGTATACTCTGGTCTCCTTTGGTCTTATTTTGCCTACGAGGTAACTCCCTTCATGGATGTGTCTTGCGCCTCGTGCCTCCAGCAAGAGGCTAGCTGATCACCTACGAGATTTGCAACACGGATTTGTGAAACAGATAGTATAACACTCAAGAACTTTGTGTATGCATATCACTAGGACGTTGGAAATCTAACCATGATGTGAATAGTCAACATAAATTGACTTTGACCAAGATCTAAGATGACAGCCTACAAATCAGAGTATAATTGAAACTGATCAATCAGGAAGAGATTTTTTTTGTTTACTATTCCATAGGATGCTACTAGTCTGAGATTTCCAAGTATCTGTTGATCTTGTGTTCTATTACGAGCAATTGGAGCATTCTACAAGAAAAAAACACATCTTCAGTTAGGCAAGCTTATGATGAATGACAGGATATCACTAACTTATGGGCTCAATGTCAGTAGGCGATTCGGCGCAAGCATAAGAAACGTTGTCGTTGGTTTCACAATCTGAATAGACAAGCGAAAGGGATCTTCAATAAGACGTTATATGAGGAACGAGGGCTTCAGCCTTCAAGACTCCAGATACTGACTATAATTCTTCGCAAACGCATCGTATTCATATGTCGTGCAATCTTGACTCGTCACGGCGGGATCCAATGACCCATTGGATCTGATGCGCTGGCACGAGTACATCGTAATGGATATTGGTTTATTTGTTGACACTAAAATACATAGAACGGATAACCCTGATCAGCTTCACAGATTTTATATCAAAGGCAATAAAGATTTACTCACCTTCACTGTAACAACTGTCCTTGTGGCATTTGTACCTCAGTGTATTAGGGTATCTCGACTCGCACACTTTCGTTGTCATCGATCACGATACAGACCCACATTAGCTCAGGATGCAGATTGTGAAGAGGATAAAATCGCATACCTGGGTCCCCGTCTGTGTCAATTGTATACCCTACGTTGCAATAGTAGTCGGCCTTCAGGCCATGAATCAACAGGGAACAGAGTAGAAAAAAGATCTTTGGATAGACGTTTAGCATCTTTGTTACAGTAAAACGGTGAGATCAATGTCGATTGAGGTATTGCAAGTTGTAAGCGTACGAAAGGAGGGGGAAGGGGAGAGAGGGTCATCAAGATGGCAGTATATATATACATTGTACCTCAGTTAGACGAAGATTCAGGAATCAGCTCCAGTTCAGTCTTTTTTGAAAATGTTTTAAGTAGTTGAATATAGACTACATGGCTTGAGGTAGCATGCTGTAGCATGGGTCGGGAGAACCAATTGCTCCCAATTGCTTCCTTGCAAGGTCGGCAGTCGTTCCCCGTGGTATGTACAGCCACCGGTGCGACTGAAGTTGAAACCTAGGAATCAGAATGAAGATGAATGAAAGTTCACTCTGAGTCTAGATTATTCCACCGGTGGATTTTTTTTTTTTTTTTTTTTTTAAATGAATGTATTTATAGTGCGATACCTGGTCATAAGACATAAAAACACACTGTAAGACAAAGGATTGAGGACACAAGGTAATTGTTTAGTAGGCTGGGCCTGAGTTTGAGGACACAAATGGGTTCCTGTTGCTGGACGATATGATAAAAGTAAAGTGAAAAATTGAAAAGAAAAGGAAAACTAAAATGAAAGGACATATTACGCGCATGGCGTCGGGTGGTAGCTAAGCAGAAGCGGTTCAAGGTAGGGCGTTGACTTCGATTCGACGGAATCTCTCTACGCCAGATGGCCAGTGCTGGGTACACTCTTAGGCGCCGGGGTGATGTCCCCGTTGGTCTTTTAAGACATCTTTTGAGTCGTTGGTGAGTTGACAGAGAATACTCCGTTTCCTCTTGGTCTAAGCCTTTCCCTATTCCTTTTTCTGGCTCCTTTCCCATCGGACACACTTGAAGAAAAAAGAAAAAGAGGAGATAGATAGATAGAGAGAAAAAAGAGAAAATGCGGGTTGAGATCTGGTTTGTAGATGGTACTGATTGATGATTTAAGAGGTGCTTGAGGGTCGGTGGATAGGTGTTCGAATAATTGTGAGAGGTTTCTTGAGGCAGGTGGTGTAGGAGTTCGGTTTGGTTTGAGGTTGGTCGAAAGTTGTTCGGGTATCTTGCGTCTTGATGGTCGGCTGATAAGTGATTGATCGGTGCTTGTGGTTGGTGGTTGGTTGGTTTATAGGAGGGATGGGAGGGCAAAGAAATTCTCTGGGTTCGGTGCTTGATGGTGGGGTTGGGGAAGAGGTAATTGGGGGCGTGATTGCCGGTTGTGCTGGTTTGGGTGCCGCGGTCTGGTTGGTACTCGGGGGCGTGTAGTCGGCTGATGAGTTGGGTGTACTGGTACTCGGTTCCGGGAACACTGTCGTCGTGGTTGTTTCGGCGGTTTTGGTGGTGGCCGGGGAGGAGGGCCAACGGTCTTGTACCTAGCGCGATAGAATCTGTGGGAAATCCTACAGAAAGTAGAGAGAGCCTCGTAGATTGAGGGATAAGTCTTCAAGTCCTTGCGGTGCATGCGCACATTAGCTGATCTGGCCGCATGGGTCAAGTCTCGGCGTAGGCGCCCAAACTTCCTGCAGTTCAGTAGGAGATGTTCGACGTCTTCGAGTTGTTTGCAAGTCGAGCAATTCGGGGTGTCTGAGCCTTTGAAGCGGAAGAGGTAGGCGTTCAACGGGCAGTGACCTGAGCGTAGCTGGGTTATAAATGTTGCTTCCGAGCGGGTCAGCTTGCACAACTCTTCGAAAGTTTCTTTGGGGTTAAAGACCCCCAAGAGCCTGGCAATACCATCAGCCGAGGGTGGAACCAATGCTGATTCAAGGAGTTGGGCTTTGATTTTATTTTGTAGTGCTGCTGCAATCGGTGTGCTGTGGGTGAGTTGCGGGAGGTGGGTGGCTTGTTTTGCCGCCTTGTCTGCTAATTCTGATCCGGTGATGCCTTGGTGGGCCGGGCACCAGATGAACGAGACGGTGGAGTCGCGGAAAGTCCTCAAGAGACGATCGAGGATCTTACGGATTCTAAGGCAAGTCGTCATCCCTGGGATTAGGCGAAGCGGACCTGTGATGTTAGCGATTGCGTTCTGGTTGTCAGTAAGAAACCAGAAGAATCTGGTATCGTTGGGAGCATTATTGATGGCGTTGGCCACAGCGAGCTCAAGGCCTTTCAGCTCAGCATGGTATGCTGTGTGTTCGTCTGCGTCCCCCACTCTGGCGCGTAGGACAGTCGAGTTTTCGGGCTGGTCGGTGTTGAGAATGAGTGCCGAGGCACCCGCTCCTGCGTCAGGGTCGTGTGATCCATCACTGAACGAGATACACGTTCGTGCTGGTATGTCGGATAGGTTGGTTCGGACAAACGCGGCGGCTTCCTCCTTGGAAGGCTGGACTACACCTGCCACTCGGGGATCCCCCGCTAGATTAGCCAGACCGGGGTTGAGCACCTCTGGTAAAGCTGGCATCGAACTGCAAATGTTCTTTTTGTTAGCTAGAGCGTGGTGCACCGTGGAACGGTGCGCCTTTCTGTTTCGTTTGAAAACGGATTTGGTAAGTTTGGCTGCTGGGTTAGAGTCGGGGAGACCTAAGAGTCGCAGGATTGTGGTGTCCGTCTTAGCGTCTAATCTTGCGTGGGTCGGAGGCGTGTTAGAGTCGTGGCGGAGGAAAATGGTGGGTTGGGTCCTGAAGACCCCCAGTGCGAATCTTAGCGTGATATTATCAATTCGCTGGAGTTTGCTGGGGGGGCCGGTAGATCGGCCGTAGACGTGCCATGCCACACAGGCATAGTCTACACGAGAGTGGACCAGGGATGTGATGAGTTGTTTGCATTGTCGCAGGGGGATGCCCCAACCTGTACGAGCAAGGCAAGCTAGACGGTTAGCCACCACAGTGCCTTTGGCCGTTTGTGATGTGATGTGTTTAGTGAACTTGAGTTTGGGGTCAATGAGCACCCCCAGCCATTTGATCAGAGGCTGAGGTTCTAATCGGACTTCACCTAGCTGTAGGATTGGTGCTTGTGGCGGTGGTGGTTTATGGGACATCAACATCCATTGACTCTTGGCTTTGTCGAAAGCAGCCCCGTAAAGGCTGCCCCACCGGAGTTCACGGTCTGCCAGGACTTGGAGCTGGGCGGTAACTTCTTCTGTTGTTGGGCGTGCCGTCGCAAAAGCAACGTCGTCGATGAAACCAAGGGAAATCGTGTTCGGAACATCGTCTGCTTGGCGAAG